TATATATATATATATATATATATATATATATATATATACAATATACACTATATATAGCTACTCTTTGACATTCAGTCAAACAGGCAATATATGACACTGGGCCTATATACTTTGGACATTCATTTAAACACTCACTATATTCACTATATACATTTCTGACTATATACTGATAATATACGTATATATATATACAATACACAATATAGCCTACACTATATATTCTTTGACATCCACTCACTCACTCACTATATACACACCACATACAGTATTGACAATACGTTGTCTATTGTGAATATGTTATAGGCCTATAGGCTGCAGAATATACACAATATATCCTACATGTCTATAGTGTATACATATACGCAATATACAATCTATTCTGTATATATACACACTGTTTACACAATAGACATAAAGTGTAGGCTATATTCTGCAATATCTGGGCATGCTCGAAATATTGAGGGTTATTTTATATTTTTCATAATAAATACACCTTACGAAATCTTTCGCAGGTATCAGTTACATTCATAATATACCTGAATTCAGTGTCAATACGAATTTTGTGCTCATGCCACATCAATATTTTGATCAATATCATATTTATGTGGAACACTGCACTGTAAATCAGTTTGAATTAAGATACATGAGTGCATGCCAATGAACCATTCACTATTATTATTATTATTATTATTATTATCATTATTATTACTATTATTATTAAATTTGTCACAAATATTTACAATGACAATGATAAACAATATACATAACAAGCTACAAGACAACACACGTGACTGGAATGTGGAACAGGTCTTACGTCCCAATGTTCTAACTCCTGTACTGACCAAATTATTTAATCGTTCACTGTCTTATTCTATATACCCTGACATTTGGAAATGCGGAAAGGTTACTGCTCTGTTTAAGTCTGGGGAAAGAACTGATCCAAATAACTACCGGCCAATAACAGTTCTCCCGATTGTTAGTAAAATTCTAGAGAAAGCGGCCCATTCACAAATGTATAGCTATCTACAGGATAATAAACTTTTGTCGCCATTTCAGTTTGGTTTTAGGCCCAAAAGCTCGACTGAGATTGCCCTCGTCGACTTCACTGACTCAATTCTGGAAAACATGGACAGAGGACTTTTCACAGGGGTAGTTTCAATTGATTTAACGAGAGCTTTTGACACCGTCGATCACGGAATTCTGTATGATAAACTGAAACGCGCCGCCTTTGCTGACACATCCGTAAACTGGCTTGAATCATATCTTACAAACAGAACTCAAGTAACTGCAGTTGGAAATATTTACTCGTCTGCTAAATCTGTACACATTGCAGTACCTCAGGGAAGTGTGTTGGGTTCGTTAATATTTATCATCTATGTTAACGACCTGCCTTCATGTATAAAACACTGTAACGTATCTCTTTATGCTGATGACACGGTTATTTATTTTTCTTCTTCTGATGTATCAGTAGTTGAGGATAAACTAAATTCCGATCTAGCAAGTTTAAGCCGGTGGCTCAACAAAAACCTCCTAACATTGAATGAAACTAAATGTAAATTTGTTATATTTGGGAGTAATCAAAAACTGGCAAAGATAAAAAAATTTCCTTGCAAATAAACGGATGTCAAATTCATGATGAAGATTCGTTTAAATATCTGGGTGTTATTATGCACAAGAACATGACTTGGTTGGATCATATTGACCAGCTAAATGTGAAAGTTTGTCAACGATTCGGAGCTCTACGACGAGTATAACATCTACTTCCCCGCGACGCAAGAATAACCTTATATAACAGTCTAATTCTACCTCTGTTTGATTACGCGGACGTTGTATGGGGTGACAAAAATAATGCTCTTTTGATGAACCAACTTCAAGCACTTCAAAATAATGCAGCTCGTACCATATTAGATTTACCAAAGTATGCATCAGCAACTCAGGCTATTAATCAGCTGACATGGAAACCTCTAGTCTCTCGCCGCTGTTCTCATCGTTAATTTTAATCATGACTTTCGAAAGAATGGCGACCATGGTTATAACACCAGAGGTTCTAAGAAAATCCGTGTGCCTAAATCAAAGACAAACTGGGGGCTTGCAGAGATTCGTTGTGCATGCAGTAAATGACTGGAATAGTGTGCCGGAACACATCAAACAGGCTGAAACACTAACACGTTTTAAAAGCCTTTTAGCAACAAATTTTTAGACTTTCATAGATTAATGGTTTTGGAATGCTCTTTATGTATATTCTATTACAGTATACTTATTTCTAACTTTTTAGCTTTTTAATCTAACCTCTACTAACTTTTATTAACTTTATGGACAATTTATTATTTATGTAATAGTTTTATCAGGGCCCTACTGAAAATCGCACTGCGAGTTAGGCCCCCTGTCAAAATATTATGATAATAATAATAATAATAACCTCACCCCATATATACTTCATAAGCACTTTCTCGGTGTGAGAACAAACGAAAGCTTAAACACTAGTCTGACCTTGATCATTATTTAAATTCTAACTGATTTACGGTTGTTCTTACACCGAGCTAGTGAGTGAACTTTACTGAACTAAACTAAACTAAACTAAATACTTAGTACTTATATTACGAACATTTTCTTCACAAAACTAATTAAAAAATATTAGCTACGGTTATTAGGAAGTTTGTATGGTTTTGACTTGATACTATATAAGTTATTTAAACGAGTTTTAAAGGAACATAAACTACTGGATTTCTTAATTTCAGTTGGTAGGCTGTTCCAAAGTTTTGCTGATCTAATAAAGTAAGAGTTTTGAAAGTATTCCTGATCTGCAAATGAGCTGTATATGTAAATACATAACGCCTTGGATCAATGGACAAAATACTAGTGTTAGAATTAGCTGTAATTTCAAGAGTCAATCCATAAAAGTAAATAGCTTTTAACAACAGTATCATGTTCAATCTAGGTCATTGGTATTGTTTAATATATGACGGCCTGCATGTCATTCAATGATAATACAATCATAATAGGAATAGTACATTTTTCCAATTGTCTGAGGTCCTAACCCATCTGGTTCCCTGCAAACAACATCTGGCACGATCTTAAGACCTTGAATAGATTATCTAATTTAATATTATAACAGTCATATACAAGTATTATAATAAGGCACGAGTCAATGTAAACCCCGACCCCCCCCCCCACCCTGGGCCAAGGTGGGGGTTAATAGGGGATTGGTAGGGGTTTAGATCAGGAAACACTCCCAAGAGTGTGGGGGATTTGAAGCTTTTAGAATTTATTTATCTACCGGGTATGGGATTGGGTAGGTATTAGTAATGAGCCAGTTGTCGATTTTCGGCAGTTGTTCATCTCAAGTGGCGCGTTTTATCATCTAGCGCTTATTATCTTTGCTTCGTGTGCTTTTGTGGGTTAGCACTTTTTTCCATCTAGCAAACCGCCCTATCGATTTTCTAAAGTCGTATCTTTTTGGATTTTTTTATTAATTCGGTTAGGGTTAGGGTTAGGGTTAGGGTTAAGGTTAGAGTAAGGGCCCAGGGATTAGGCTTAGGGTCGGGGTAGGGTTTGTTACATAGCCATTTAACACCTCTTCTATCTTCCGAAAATAACGTCAGGTCAGTTTGCTGGATGGGAAATAGTGCTAACTGCTTTTGAGCTTTTCAACATTTACAGGTATGTAGATTTTATTTAAATCGCCAAATTTGTAATGCAGATTTTGTCCATCTGTTCTTTAAAATATAAACCATGAGGATAAGGAATATCTTACTGTAGATAAATTATAAATTAAGGATAAGGTGTCTTAAATAAATTTTAAATAATCAATAATATTTTGCAAGCTATCCATCTCAAGAATACAATCTATTGCAGTCTATACATAATTATTTGAAATGTCTACTGTTTTAGCAGTATTTAATTAAAAAGTCTTAATTTCTGGGCGAAGGCCCCAGGTACAGGGACATTTTTTGACATTCGGAACCTTTGATACTCCCCATGATGTGGGGCGTTTGCGAACATTAGAACAAGATCAAAGTCAAATCCCCACCCTGGCCCGAGGTGGGGGGTCGGGGTTTACATTGACTCATACAATTAAACCTCATATCAGAACTGAAAATAATTTCACTAACTGGCTGTAGATGCCTGTTCCTCTGTATATTTTGCAAGCTCTTCTAGTTCCTGCCTTTTGGACGAAATTTGATAATTCGGCCTGATTTAAATTTGCTTCCCAACATTGAATCTCCTTCCTCTGACTGATCACTTCAGCTCGACTTGCCTTGAGATTGTATACAGGAGAATTTACCCAGAATTTGTGAGACTGCTTTTCAGAATTACATTTTCCTCTATGATTTGAAATCTTGTTACACCTTTTACTTTTTCTGCATGTAGATAATGGCTGTAAATATCAATATACATTATAAATAAATGAAAATTAACGATATACTTCGAGACGAAGGAATCCAATATGGCGAACGCAAATTGCTATAAATATGCAAATGAAACACGATTTCGAACGAAGTTTCTTACCTATTTCCCGAGCTTGATCCCAGTTTAAATGAAACAAAATAAGATGATTTCCAACTTTGATTTTAGTTTTTCTTCCGAGAATGAGATTTAACAAAGTTATCGCGATTATTCGACGAAAATATGTCGAAATTTCCGGTTTTGTTGAATTTACACGGAATATATACACTACTAAGGCGGAGAATAAACGTGAAAATGTGTTTTTTTACTTTGCCTTTCCTAGGGGACCCTTCATGGTATTTTGTCGCAATCGGTCGCCATAGAAACACGAAATTTGTCTTAAGGTAAGGTCAGTTAGACGGGCATTTTAAACTTATTTCGCAACATATTGGGAAAATTGACAACATATATCACTTTTGAGAGTGTAGTTTGTTCTATTAAAATATTTAAAAAACAATTTCACTGCGAAAAAAGCTTGAAAAGTTCAAAATAAAACCTAGCTACTTCGCCACTCATATAAATTGCGTGCGCCATTGTTTACGTGTCACGTGATCAACCAGTTGATGCGGGAGGAATTTGCATAGCAACCGACCGCCGTGACTAATACTTTCGTTTCTCCGGGTGTAAATAGCCGTGCAGAATTAGTACCTTCGCCTCGGGGATAATGGGCATTAACCAAATTTGAAAATCGTTATGCTCACCAAATGTAAGGTACAGTACCACTCTAAGCTGTATACACTATACAGCAAATGTAAAACAATAACTGTCACAGTATTTAGATTGTCGTTTACACAAGTTAGCCCGCAAAATAAGCCTGCTGTCTCTTTAACATCTGCTAATCGCGTGATAATCAACACTCCCTGATTGTTCTTTTTGAGCACTCATGTTCTCGCGATACGCTCGCTTTCAACCTCGTCCCCAGGGTCTTCTTAAAGGCTGCGAAAATCTCCATGTATGTATGTATGTAAAAATTTATTTAAAGACGCTAGCCTTGTCAACAAAGAGAGTTGATTTCCACAAAGGGCGTCGACATTTGAAACTTTACAAAAACTATTTATAAAAAAGACAAATATAAGTACAAATACATGCAATATATATAGTAATTAATTAGAATGGTTTAAAAGGAAGTTGGTGGTTTGGTGTGATTTGGCCATATAAATATGTCTGTAATAATCCATATAGATTAATATTAGGTTAGTTACTTTGCCTTACAATATTTTTAAAAGAACATATTGATAGGGCTTCCTTAGCTTCACCAGGAAGATCATTCCATAGTTTAGCACCACTATATCGAAAACTCTTTTTCAGAAAGTCGCGTCTTGGCTTAGGAACGGTCAGATCATTCTGAGCATTTCTGAGATCGTAAGTCGTTTGCGAAATATTCCTTTTTATCAAAAACTCTTTCAAGTTCGGCGAACTATGGTCGTTTAGAATTTTATAAACAAGAGTTGCCTTAGTTAATTTTCTTCTAGATTCTAAATTGTCCCATTCAAGAGATTGAAGAACGTCAGCAGACCTGATCTCATAACCAGCACCAGCTATTTATTTATTTATTTATTTACTTTGCCATCATACTTATACATTCATTGGCTGGGAAACCACAACAGCTATTGCCAATTACAGCGGCCCCAATAGTTATACAGAAACAATTTACAAGGTATACGAAACACACACAACAGACAATACTTGAACAACAGTCATTACATTTGTCTAAAAGCAGCATGTCAATGGAGAGTTCATTAAACTTCGAGCGGAATTACATTTTATACACACACTTTTCCATGTTCGGGGATTCTCAACATCGTATGTATTTTCTAATGCTAAAATATAGCACTTAAAAAGAAGATTCTTGAATTCTGAAAATGTTAGGTCTTTGGATGTAATATAATTGGGTAGTGTGTTCCATATTCCTGATGTTCGGATTTTGTAAGATTTTTCATAGGTTGACGTCTTGTATGTCGGAATTTTATATTTGTTCGAGTTGGGATTAAATGATCTTGTCTGTCTTTGACCCTGAGATTGAGGAAATGGAAGAATTTTTTTATCAATATTAAAAATGTCGTGATTTGCCTTATAGAAGAATACTACATCCAGGTATTCGTGCCAGTAGCTGAGAGGAAGCAAACTGGTTGCAAGGAGTCGGTCTCTATATTCTGTATCACAAATAAAGGGAACATTTAAAATATATTTAGTTGCACGCCTCTGAACTCGTTCTACTCTTTTCACCAACTCAACTGTTTGGGGTGCCCATACTTGGGTGGCATATCCTAAGTGTGAGCGAACCAGAGAAAGGTACAGTGTTCGTCGAATTGCAAACTCGCGAATATTGAAAGTTGATCTTCGAATATAACCCAGCATTTTATTAGCTTTGTTACTTTGTTGTGTAACTTGCTTTGACCAAGTGAGATCATAATTCGTCCACACACCTAAATCGAGTTCGCAATCAGTCTTTTCTAGTATGGTATCTTGTAGTTGATAAGGGAAATCTATTTTGTTGTGTTTCCTGGTGGCCAGGAGGGTTTTACATTTTGATGTGTTAAGATGCAGACCAGCATTGGATGAGGAGGAATTAAAGTTGAGAAGATCATTTTGTAATAACATTGCATCGGTCCTGGAGTTAATCACTTTAAAAATCTTAGTGTCATCAGCGAAAGCTGCTACGTTCGAATTCACGATGGAAGAGGATAGATCATTGGTATATAAGAGGAAAAGTAGCGGGCCAAGAATGGAACCTTGTGGTACTCCGGATGTCACTGGTAGTGCTGTCGATGTTGCACCGAGAACAGTAGTTTGTTGTTGGCGATTTTTCAAGTAAGAATTAAACCACATTAAGAGATTTCCTCCGAATCCAAATTCTCTGAGACGATGTAGAATACGTACGTCACTAACCTTATCAAATGCTTTTGACATATCCAGGTAGATCACATCAATCTGCTTTCCGGGATCTAATTGGCTGCCGATGGTATCTAAAACTTCAATTAGTTATGTCACGCATGATTTTCCTGAAATGAAGCCATGTTGGCAAGAATTTATTTGACTGAAATCATGTTCTTTGATGCTAATGAACACGCAACGCTCTAAGACTTTGGAGACAAGTGAGAGAAGAGAAATTGGCCGATAGTTTTCTACATGATCTTTATCCCCCTTTCTGTGGATGGGTACAACATTGGCATTATCCTAGCTGCTCGATTTTGAAACTTCTGCAATTTGTCTTTTAATGTTTTGTTACAAGTGTCCCAAAGGGGAGAACAATAATCGAAGTAGGGTTGTATCAAAGCGCTATAGATTGATTGCAGCATGTTTGCAGGAACGAATGGCTTGATGCGCCTTAACGTTCCAATACCTGCTGCAACCTTTCTGCAAATTACGTCAATATGCTCATCCCAACTCAACGTTTCATCAAGGGTGGCGCCCAAACAAGGTATTGAGGTTACCCTAGGAATTGGTTGACCATTTAACATTACAGGAATGTCATTATTTATCTTATGGAGATTATATTTAGATCCTACGTACATTAATTTAGTTTTGGATGAATGGTGTTGCAATTTGTTTTGTTTGAGCCATTGACTTATGTTATTCAAGTCACTGTTCAAATTGAAAACGAGGTGCTGATAGTCATTAGCAGATGAAAAAATCTGTGTATCATCAGCATATAAGCACGGGATTGTATTCTTGAGATTATTTGGGAGATCATTAATATAAAGCAGGAATAGAAGTGGGCCTAAAATAGACCCTTGAGGGACTCCACAAACGAGATTTCTAGGTGTTGACATCATGCCATTGACAAAACACACTTGTTCCCTATTAGAAATGTAGGATTCAAACCATTTTAATTCGATATTTAAAACTCCAAATTGTTCTTTCATTTTACGCAATAAAATATTATGGTTAATTGAGTCAAACGCTTTCCGAATATCAAGAAAAACAACACCGTTCAAGTCTCCATTATCCATGTTAGTGTACCATGCATCGCACATTTGAATAAGTGCAGACAAAGTTGAGTTCTTTGGACGGAAGCCGGATTGATACTTAGAAAGCAGGGAGTTTTCATTTAGATATTTGTATAATTGGTTGAAGAGTAAACGTTCAAAGATTTTACTTATAATTGGTAGAATGGAAATTGGACGATAATTTTCGCATTTTTGTCTGTCTTCAGATTTATATATCGGTAAAACCCAAGCCTTTCTCCATTCTTCCACATAAATTCCAGTTTTAATTGATAAATTAAATATCCACGTTAGTGACGGACTAATTATTTCAGCAGCAATTTTAAGTGCTCTCGCTGGAATTGTATCAATACCTGTTGATTTTGATGTTTTAAGATTGCGTAATTGAAGACACACTTCGTGTGTACTTATTTCAGAGAACTTAAACTGAATATCTGGCCTAGAAGGAACACTTTGTAATGAAGTGAAATCAGTGGAATTGATCTCGATTTCGTTAGCTAGTTTAGGTCCGATATTCACAAAAAAATCATTAAAGGACTCGGCTATCTTTATGTCGTCAGAAATAATAACGTCTTCAACTTTAAGTTGAGAAATATTATTTGATTTATTATTTTTGCCTAAAAGATTGTTTATTAATTTCCAACTTTGCTTAGGGCCCTTTACCCTGACACAATCTTTGATTTTATTGCAAAAGTAGTTCTTTTTAGCCTTCTTTAATTCAGAATTGACTTTATTCCTAATTGCTCTAAACTTGATCCAGTGCATGTTCGAATTATTTTTTACGGCCTTCTTTTTGTGAAAATCTCTCTCTCGCATTAACTCCTTTACTTTCGAGGTAATCCATGGGAGAGAATTGCCACGAACTCTCATACGCCTCAGCGGCGCATGCAGATCCAATACTTGCAAAAAATGTGACCGCCATAATTGATATGAAATATTGGGATCGTCGTAAAATGTCACATTGTCCCACGGAATTTGTGAGAGATCATTGACAAAGTCAGTTTCACTAAATTTTTTTAAGTTACGAGCATACTTAACATTTTGTCTTAAAATGTTTTCTGACCACAAAAATTAAACTGTGATCAGATAAACCTAGATGAAGTACTCCGGATTTTACAATATTTTGTTTCTTATTCGTGATTGCCAGATCGATCAAAGTTGCTGACGTTCTAGTTACCCTAGTGGGTTTATCAATTATCTGATCAAATTGATAAAGTGACAATAGGAATTTTAACCTACGCGTGTGCGCATCGGAATGAGATTTATTTACATCACAGTTTCAATCTCCAACAAGTATTAATTCTTTATTCTCAAAATCACAGTTTCTGAGGAAAGCTTCAAAGTCATTAAACACCTGAAGATTTGTATTAGGAGGTCTATACCATGTACTTACTAGGAAAGATTTACTACATGGTCTGCTGATTTCCACACAAACCATTTCTAAAGTGTCTGCTAGTAAGTCATTCCGTTCCGTAAATGGTATAGAGTCACGAACATACAAAAGTACACCGCCTCCATGTCTATTACGATCTTTGCGAATTACATGGTATCCTAAAACATTGATTTCATTTTCAGAAAATGAGCCATCAATTTTGGTTTCATTAAATGCTAAAATA